CCCCTGTCCCGGGCCGTGTCCGCACCCCTGTCCCGGGCCGTGTCCGCACCCCTGCCCGGGCCGTGTCCGCACCCCTGCCCCGGGCCGGGCGCCCGGCTGCGCGCTGCTCACACCTGTTCAGTGAAATCCACGTGGGCCGGTTTCCTGCCGCGCAGCCGCGCTGGGCTCCTCCCCCGTCACGTCCCCCCCCCAGGCCCCATCCGCTCCCCGGGAGGTGGAAATGGATTCCTCAGGGCAGAGGCTTCGAAGCGCGACCGCCGGGTGTCCCGAGGGTGGCAGGGTGACCCCAGGTGGGGCCTGGGGTTTTAGTGGCGCGGGGGGCTGGGACCTAGCGGATTACCCAGATTGGGGGGGAGGACAGAGCTACTTGGGTGGCCGGTATCTTTCGGTGGAACTTGGGGGACCCCCAGGTCCGAGGCTGGCATTTTGGAGACAGCAAGGGCCGCCGGGGGGCGCAGCAGCAGCAGCTGTGGCCGCCGGGGGGCGCGGCGGACACGCAGCCGCCCCGGGATCCGCCCGCGCAGACTTGCAAGGCGGGGCTGCTAGCCAATCACCAGGCCCAGCGCCGGTCGAAGCTCCGCCCCTTGTTGCGCGCGCAGTCGAGCCTCCCGCCAGCTGCTCCGCCAGGAGGGCCGACTGTCCTCGGTTGCCCCGGGGGAGCGGGACACGGTCAGATTCGAAAGGCGGGGACGGAGCTGCTTTTCGGGGAGCCACCGAAGGAAGACTGCCAGCGACTTCCTTGACGCCCCCAGACGTGGCGATCTATTGGAGTCTGGGGAGCCTCATTTGCCTAAAAGCTCAGACACCTCCTGGCCACGCCCACAGTGTGTAAGCCAACCGACCACACCCACCAATGGGGAGGAGGAAAACACCCTAAGCCACGCCCCGCTAGGCGGGGCCTAGCCTCAGCTCAGGATTCCCCTGTGGATAAGTGACCCAGGATGGCGAGCGTGCGCGGCCGGGGCGCCCCCTGGCGGCCGCTCCCGGCGGCGCCGGGGCTGCGGATGCGGCCGGCAGCGAATGAGGATGGCTGCTTCTCCAGCCCCCATCGAGCGCCCCAAAGGAGCTGCAGACTTTTTTTCTTACTCGGTGGCCCTGGCCCGGTGGGGGCGCTGAGGCCTCACCCAGGGGCGCAAGGTCGCAATGAGGCTGCGTGCCCATCTTAGAAAAAAATAAAGACATGCTCCAAGGCAGTACGATGTCTGGTTCAATAAATAGAAAAAAGAAGTTACAAAATGACGCCAACTTTTTCCTTAATGTACAACCAAGGAGAAGCCAGAGCGCTGGGTCGGGGCAGGGCACTCTGTCCCCTATCTGGGGAGAGGGGGACATTGGGGTGAAGCTGGCAGAGTCAGAATACACCAAGCTGCCCCGAGTTCCGGGTGGGGTCGTGGGGGGTTGGCGGGGTTCGCTGGCTCTCGTGTCTGTATCCCCAGCACCTAGCTGGGGAGTAGCCAGGCTGAGGTTACTTCCTGAGTTGTGCATCCAGTGACTGAGGTGGGGTGGCGATCGCCCCACTGGTGCCTAAGGGAAGGGGGGGGTCCTGGCTGGACAGAGGCCTAGGGGTGGGGTGAGGTATGTAACGCAGGCCTACGATCGGTCTCTTGAAATCCTTCCTGGTTCTGGCTGGGGGCGCGGGGCTGCTAGGATGGGCCCTGAGCAGTGGGGAGTGGGTAGGAAAAATGGAAAAGGGGTTCAGACAAGCTAATATCAAGTTCCGGGGTGGCCCTGGGTGGGCAGGGGGTCTGCCACGTTGTCTGGGGGGGGCAGCTTCTGGCCAGCCCTGCCTCGCAGCTCCTCAGGTGGGGGGAGGGGACTCAGCCAGGCCCGGGCCTTGGAGAGTGGGGAGCTTGCCTATTGCTAATGTGGGGGGGGGGGCCCCGATACACCGCCCCTCCTCCGGGCCTCTGGGGTGGTGGTGGTATGGCTTTTGCTCCTGAGTCTCTGGCACACGAATCGCACACGGCTAGGCACAGACGGGGCGGGACCCTCCCCTCGGGACTCTTTCCCTGACTTAATACTGATCCAGGTGCCAGGAGATCGGGGTGTGTGTGTGTGTGTGTGTGTAGGGGGGGTTTCCCCTGGCCACCTGCGAACCCCCTCACCCGAATCGCTCCCGCACCAAGAGCATGAGCTTCTTCTTGCCCTTGTAGGTGTGCTTGAGGCTGTCCAGGAACTGCGCGAACTGCACGTGGCCGTCGGACGCCAGCAGGAAGGTGCGCCGGGCCTTGTCCAGGAACTCGATGAAGTCGGCGTAGTGGCGCGGGCTGATGTGGGTGAGGCGCGAGTGGCTGGTGGCGATGTAGGCGGCCACGGCGGCGTCCAGGAGCTGGCACAGCGGGGCCCGGTCGGCGCCCAGC